AATGAAGCTATGGACACAACGGCCAGTCAAACGGCGCGTGCAGCGCCGAAGGAGCGGCGAGTTTCTCTCGACCGCTCCAAAAAAGACAAAAGACAAATTACAGGGCCTCCAAAAAGCCCTGTAAAATAAGTTTCCTTTTCCATAACCTGAAAGGTTATGGTACCATTCTGTTTTGACTTTAGTATCACACGAATGTCACCAAGGCTTTATTACCAACAAATCAATTCTTACTCCATTTTTCTGCTCAAGTTCACTGCCCAAAATGGCTTTTCTCCTCCATTGGAATTGTAGAGGACTCATTCACAACATAGGTGACATAAAAGATTTGCTAAGTAGTCTCTCTCCAATGGCTATGTGCTTACAGGAGACCAATCTGGGAGAAAAACACACCAACTTCCTCAGAGGTTTTACCGTAGTACGTCGCGATCGCATCCACGCTAGCCGGTTGTCCGGTGGCGTGGCTATTGTCGTCAAAAGTGGAATTGCAGTGAGAGAGAACACCATCTACAGTCACATCGAGGCCGTAGCCGTCACCATTTTAGCTCACAAAACTATTACCATATGTTCCATTTATATCCCCCCACACACGCATTTTTCAATTAAAGATATAGAGCATATTTTGGACCGACTGCCTGAACCGTTTATTATCGCAGGGGATTTTAACGCGCACGGAATGCTTTGGGGAAGCAGTACAACTGACACCAGAGGACAAACCCTCGAAGATTTTATTCTGAACAATGAAGTATGTCTTTTAAATACTAGTAGCGTCACCTACTGCTCCCCAAGCACAGGAGCCACTAGCTGCTTAGATCTAGCGCTGTGCTCACCTTCGCTCTTTTGCGAACTAAAGTGGAGCGTGATAGATAATGTCTACGGCAGTGACCATATGCCTGCTCTCATAAAATTAACACAAACCCTCCCCACCACTCAATCCCGACCACCGCGTTGGAAACTACATCTGGCAGACTGGCCACTGTTCACTGAAAAAGCTGCCCTAGAAAAAGAGATGCTTGATGGCCTAAGCATAGAGGAAATGAACGAGACAGTCACCGCCTGCATACTTGCGGCAGCCGAACAAACAATACCACAATCCTCCGGCATTATAAAGAAAAAACTTAAACCATGGTGGACGAAAGAGTGCACACAAGCTAAAAAAATGCAACAAAAGGAGTGGGGCATTTTTCGTAAACATCCTACAGGAGAGAACCTTCTAGCATTTAAAAAGGCGAGAGCAAAGGCAAGATTTATTCGCAGGCAGGCTGAAAAACTCTCGTGGAAAAAGTACATTTCATCCATCAACAGCTCCATCACATCTAAAAGAATGTGGGATCAGGTGCACAAGTTTACCGGCAACTATAGTTCATATACCATCCCCATTCTCTCAACCCCTGGCATCCAGACAACTTTAGGCGAACAGGCAGACCTACTAGCGCAGCACTTTTGCGCTATTTCGAGCTCAGCAAACTATTCGGCAGCTTTCCTAAAACATAAACAATCTACAGAAAAGCAAAAGCTTCCTATTACAGGTTATCACGACAGATCATACAACTCCCCCTTAACCCTGCAGGAAATTAACAGAGTGCTTTCTCAAGGTAAAAAAACAGCACCTGGCCCAGACAAAATACATTACCAAATGCTCGCCCATTTGTCCCAGGAAGCGGTGAAGGCATTGCTGCACTTCTTTAACGCTATTTGGATCACTGGCAGAATGCCAACAGAGTGGAAAAAAGCCATTATAATTCCATTTCTCAAAGCCGGAAAAAACCCTACATTACCAACAAGCTACAGGCCCATAGCACTTACAAGTTGTATCGCGAAATCCTTCGAAAGCGTTATTAATATTAGGCTAACATACATCCTAGAAACCGATAACTTGATAGATGTTCACCAATGTGGTTACAAGAAAGGATGTTCTACCACCGATCACCTCGTTCGCCTTGAACATACAGTACGAGAAGCTTTCCTGTACAAGCAACACTGCTTAGCAGTATTTTTCGATCTTGAAAAGGCATATGACACAACGTGGAAGTACGGTATCTTACGAGACCTAGCAGATCTTGGAATTCGCGGAAGGATGCTCAACTGCTTGTCCGACTTCCTATCGAACCGAACTTTTCAGGTTCGTTTAGGCACCACACTTTCAGGAACTTTTACTCAAGAGAACGGTGTGCCTCTGGGCTGTGTCTTAAGCACAACTCTCTTTGTCGTTAAAATGAACTCTGTGAACCAAGTCATACCATCTACTCTTATGCACTCACTATATGTGGATGATCTCCAAATAGCGTGCCGGTCATCTAACATGGCGACGTGCGAGCGACAGATTCAAATAGCACTAAACAAGCTAACACAATGGGCTAACAAAAACGGCTTCCGGTTTTCTGAGGAAAAGACGGTTGCTGTAGCGTTCTCCCAAAAACGAGGCTTACAACCAGACCCCGTACTGAAAATAAACGAAACAGTATTGCCAATAAAACAAGAACAGAAGTTTCTGGGGGTCGTATTTGATAAGAAGCTCAATTTTCTTCCACACATTAATAATCTCAAGGTAAAATCCAACAGCGCCCTCAATGTCCTCAAAGTCTTGTCCCGAAAGCACTGGGGTTCCGACCGTAAGTGCCTCCTGCTCATCTACCGCTCTTTAGTACGCAGCAAATGAGACTACGGTAGTATAATCTACGGTTCAGCTAGAGACTCGTACCTTAAGCGCCTAGACCCTGTCCATAACAAAGGGTTACGCCTCGCAACAGGTGCCTATCGAACCTCACCTATTTCGAGCTTATACGCCGAAAGTAACGAACCATCCTTGGAATATAGGAGAACGAAACCAATGCTCACGTATGTCCTTAGAGTTCGTTCTTCACCAGATCATATATGCCACAGTATTGTCACACGCTGTGACCTACGACAACACTATGCCAACAAACCAAACGTAATTAAGCCACTAATACTAAGATTTGAAGAAAAATTTCATGCCCTGAATATTCCTAACGAAGCACTCTCCATTGCCAGAAGGCCACCCAGTTTGGCTCCATGGAGTGATTTCTCCAAATTCTTGGATTTTTCACTCACACATATAAAAAAACAAAACACCCCACGTGAACATATACTACAAGAATTCCTTACATTACAACAAACGTACAATACTTACGAAGAATTTTATACTGATGGTTCGAAGACATCTGCTTATGTCGGAAGCAGTGTGGTAGGAGCAACACACGAGCAAATAACTAGACTACCGCAGTTCGTATCCATCTACACCGCTGAGTGCTATGCGTTATGGATGGCAGTATGATACATTATAAGCTCAAAACATAAAAGTGCCGTAATATTTACAGACTCGTTAAGCGCACTGAAAAGTCTCAATTATAAATCTCAGTATGAGCCATTCATAGGCGATATTTTAAACATGCTATCCCACACACCTGATGACCGCACCATACGCCTCTGTTGGGTCCCGAGTCATGTCGGGATCCCAGGCAATGAAAGGGCAGACCATCTAGCTGCAACAGCAAAAGAGATGCGCGAGTCAAAAACCAACATACCTGCCAGAGATGGGATTCAAGCTGTTTGCCGGGCCACCACCTTTCACTGGCAGCAGGAATGGAAATTACAACAAAACAACAAACTTCACCTAATTAAACCTGTTCTTGGTGAATGGAAGACCTGTCTTCATCAAGCGCGTTTTATCGAAGTAGTTATATGTCGACTACGAATAGGTCACACGCACATCACACATAATTACCTATTGGTAGGCGAAGAAGCCCCAAGATGCGATAAGTGTCAGGAACAACTAACTGTAATGCACATTTTAATAGCTTGCCCACATATGGGAACATTAAGAGAAAAACATTTCCGTATGTTTTACAGGTTAAATATTCCCTTCCATCCAATGCTACTCTTGGGCGATGACGCCCTAATACCCATAGCTGATGTGATCAGCTTTTTAAATGAAGAACAACTTCTGAACAAGGTCTAACTACACTAAACTATGCTACCGCTAGACATGGCAAAACTCGACTGATGTGACTCGTAGCACAGCCTCTTCGGAGAGGCATCTGCTGCAGCTCGAATTTACAACGAGGCACTTGCCTCCCTGCCATTAGGTATAAGGACACGGGTATGGTATTAGTGCTATGTAAAAGCCGCTACGCTTTAACATAACCTCATGCACCAACCATACACATTGACCACCCCGAGCATCACACACATAATCTTAGAAGAGATATATACTTCACGCGTTTGCGGAGCCAATCCTTTTAGGCCTTTATACAGCCACGCTTCATCGCTCATCATATTCATATGTCACCGCCGTTAAGACATTTCAGAGTCATTGTCATAGCCCTGTTTGCTGTAAGTATTCTCACCATGAGTCTGGCGCAGCATAGCCTTAGTTGCTCTTGCGCCACAAAACCCAACATAACTAACTAACCTTCCTTCGGGCACCTAGAGACCCGTCGACACAATGCTGTTGCGGGCGCACTTCACAAGATGCGGAAAGTCTGATAAGAAGTGCAGACTTGTGCTGTGATCTGCAGGGTGCTTCACTTTGCAAACAACTGACTTTGAAGAACCCTTGATGCCAAATTGTCGCCACATACTCCTGTTCCAGGATGCACCATCTGTGGTCACAAAATCCACAAAAAGCCCAGACTTCTCGGCAGTTAGTGTTGCATCGACAATGATTTTTGCAAGCAAATCTGCCTTGACATTTCCAAGGGAGCCGAAAACCCCTAAGATTTGCTGAAAGTTGCCTGAAAATGGTTGGTACGATACTACTAGACCGTGATCACACGTTTGTGTGCTTTGATCTAGAGAAGTGTATTTGCCCAAGTCAACGAAACCTTCGATGAGTTCACTGCTTGTCACTTTGAGGCTCTCCGAGAGCTTCAGTTCGTCAATTAAGAGATCTCCGTGCCTGTGAAACTCATCTATACTTTTGGTTTTTTCTTCTATGGCAGCAAAAACATTATCATTGAACCCAAAGTTGCTCTTATAATTTCTCACGTACTTGTTGAAACAACTCTTGCTGGGCAAGACCATTATTTTATGCTTTCGAATATGCTCATACAGCTTTGGGCTTTTCATGCGCATTATAATGCAGTCCAGAAGCCATTCATCGCTGTACTTCATCCCCTGTGTTCCTTTCCTTTTCGCTGCTTCAAAGCATGTTTGTACCTGCTGCCGCTGTTTCTCAGGCAGCTTAGACAGACTTTCCTGAAGGTTTGATTCAGAGAGGGCAGAATTACTTTGCTTCATTTTCGCAAGCATTTGCTTTAGTTCACTGACTTTTGCCTTTTCTCGCCTCAACTGTCTTCCCCGCATAATTAGTTTCTTCGAAGCACGGTAACCAGTAGCCACTCTAGCTTTTCTCTTCTTATAGGATGCTTGGTTTAAAAGCAGTTTCCTTAGATACCTGCAGTGTATACAAGGCCTTTGATCTTGAGACATGCCTGAGCAACTTTTGCTGTACAACTTGTTTCCATGCGTTCTGTATTTTGATTGATTGGAACTGTTAAGCCGCTCCAGTGGAATAGCACCTTGCTCAAAACTGGAGCACACAACCATCTCGTTGATGGAGTGGAGGCGGCTTTCCACAGCATTCACATCAAACACGTCCACTTTTTTTACAACTTTCCCTTGCACAAACACTACACAATGATAGCAAGTATCCTCAGCAGAGCACAACACCAGTTTCTTGAAGCACACACTATCACCATTTTGAGCGCAAACAGTAAATGCAACAGCGTTCGGGGCATCCGCAAGTAGGCACATCGACCAGTATTCGCTTGGAAGCTTCTCACCTTTCATATGCTCCACTGTACACGACGCGCCAGGAACACGTTCACCGTTCGTTGTCACATCTAAGGAAGAATCGTGCTCCATCGAAGGAAGTTCATTTTCATCGTTCACTTTTCTTTTTTTGCCGAGCACTTCTCTCGATGTCCGGGAGCTGCGCTTCTGAGGAAGCTTTTTAGAGAGATAACTCGGCGTGTTTGGGAAGATCGACGGTATCGCATCATCGGTAAGGCATGGGCGGCCGCGAGGAATCCTCACAACTTCACCATTCACGATGTGGGTGTAATCTCTCACAATGAACCGTTGCTCGAAGTGTAACTCCCACAGGACTGCAGTTCGGTCGAGCAGTTTGTCACCACGTGGAACGTACCGCTGCCATGCTTTCAGCCGGTCCTCATCGTTCGGTACGGTAAAAACAGACCCTTTTACACCTGCCTTTCGGGCTGAAACGTACCCGGTAGAGCATCCGGGCGCGAAGCAGTGAGTCTGGCGCTTCACTGGTTTAGCCATCACGATATGCGGTGTGAAGAGGCTTCAAAACTTCGAGCATCGTGCGAACAGTACGAACACAAGCCGCGGAAACGCACGTGCTCCGCTTCGGCCCAGAGGGGCATCTAAAAAACGAGACGCGCGCCACCGCTCGTCGGCATGAACAACTGACACCCTCTCCGCCAACCTCCGCAGCGCGCGATGCTCCCACCTTCCCTTCTAGCCACCATAACACGGAGGAAGGAAAGGTAAGGAGAGGCCCTGACGTCACTCGTTGTGAAGCCGCGATGAAGCCGGAAGTAGGCCATATTGACTAGGCAAATTCTCCTCTCTTGTTTACATATGAATGCGAAGCAGAAGGCGCGACTCCCTCTCCGGTTCGGAAAGGACGTGGGCTGCGCAGCGCGTGTGTCGTGACGATCCGAAACTAATGGAACTGGGCTCATAACTCTGAGCCAGTGAGACACCTTCAGCGAAATCGCTTCGTCCGAGTAATAACAGGGAGTAAGAGCTCGCCGACAACGAAGCAACTACGAGAGAACGCGCGCTAGATGCACTGACAACGGCGAGTCCTTTCACGTCATTAATTCAGCAACTGTACAGACAACACGATCAGTCGTGCGCCTTCTACGGTTGCATTCTGCCACGCGGCTGACGCAGCGTCCTGCCGCTGTGTCCCGTGTTCTGTGTGAAACTCACCGGCGTCAGCATTCTGTGACCGTGGTGACTTTGAGCACAGTGCTAGTGACAGTTGAACGTGGTTGCTGTTACGTTGAGATTACATGCAATGCTGGTGAAGAGTGTACCAAGCGGAACAGAAAAAGTGTTTTAATACGCACATGCAAGTTGTTACTGTACATACGCAACACGAAACTACGTATGTGCACATGGTCCTCACGGCGTCTTGCTGGGCTCAACAGCGTCGTCCGTTGTCACAAGCAGGAGCACTGCTCAACCGTCACTGACCTGCAAGGCGTTCGTCGTCATTCAGCTTCGTCATGGTGCCCAACGCAATTTCGCTGAACACTAACTGCTTCATCCGCGTCATCCGCCGCACGACACATGGATATGCACTTGTTCTACGCACTGTTGAAACCCCGTGATGGACAAAGGAATTTGTAAACATTGCTAAGAGTAATGTAACAGCCAGGAGAACACTGCGTAACCAATAACGCGGTGCAGAGCACAGATAATGTCCGCCACGGCTCAGCACGAGACCTGGGGAGGCACACATTCCGCTGCCAGCTGCGGCCGCTCACTGCTAGACCAGCTCCACTGCGCAACACCTAACCATAGCAACGCCGCCATTGTGCCTAGTGAATATGGCCGCCATGATGTCATTTCTGCCACATTTTTTACGGCCTGCGCCGGCTGGGCATGCCCTGTCCTTACCTTTTTCCTTCCTCCGTGGTCAACAACTTGGCGCGTTTGCGCAGCGTAAACAACACTGTTTCAGGGGCTTCTTTTTCGCACTTTTCGGCGACTAGCCTTGGCAAAAACACTATTTGCGGGATTCGTAGCGCACGTTTCGCTGTAATATTTTAGAACAAGGAAGTTGAAGGTCTGAAGATTACGAAAAAAAATAAACCAGAAAATCGCATATTTTGACCAAAATCGGCACTTCACTTGCCGCGCCCCCCCCCCCCAAGTGGTTTATATATGTGTGTGTGGGGGGGAGGGAGGGGTATTTATTGGCGTAAGAACCATGCGATGGCCAAAAAGAGCCAGTACCTAATACGAAATGTGTGGGCGATAGGTGTGATGACTGGCTGTGTAGAGACCTGAAATTCCGTGCGGTGACGGGGGTAAAACATAAAGGTATTAAGATCATGAGTGACATGAAATGTGTTTAGTGAAAATGAGCGGCTAATGGTTCTGATAATGATTATATAGAGTGATCATGTTGCACGAATGTTTCTTCAATGCGCTTGTCTCCAAGGGCCGCGAGGCAGGTGCTTACTAATGTTTCTTTTGTAGCAGCGGCCTTTCGTCAAAGGTCGTGCTACAGGCTACCAGAGTAACCCCGCCGTGGTGGTCTAGTGGCTAAAGTACTCTGCTGCTGACCCGCAGGTCGCGGGTTCAAATCCCGGCTGCGGCGGCTGCATTTACGATGGAGGCGGAAATGTTGTAGGCCCGTGTGCTCAGATTTGGGTGCACGTTAAAAAACCCTACGTGGTCTAAATTTCCGGAGCCCTCCACTACAGCGTCTCTCATAATCATATGGTGGTTTTGGGACGTTAAACCCCACAAATCAATCAAGGCTACCAGAGTAGATCACGTTAAAACTAGGAACATCTTTTAAAGACGCAAGTAAAGACTGATGATTGAAAACTGGATCCCTACTCATGAACATCGATGGATGAAGTGGTATTTGCTGCCAGTAGGGTGATGAGAAGTGCTTTTTTCTTAAAGTGTCTAATTAACATCGATGGATGAAGTGGTATTTACTGCCAGTAGGGTGATGAGAAGTGCTTTTTTCTTAAAGTGTCTAATTATTTGCATTGGATTATAATGTGGATAACGGTGAATGGTTAACCACATTTCTCGCACATCGCTGGATCACCACTGGATAGAAGATATGGTTGTGTACTATGTGCCTGTGTCCTAATCTTAGCCTTGTAAGTGTTACATTTGTATGGCTCATAGCCTCGTGACCGAAAGCCATCTTGGACTTATTAATAATTTCCACTTGGCTGTCGCCTAGTATCTGGCCAAATGTGATGCAGTAGTGCAGCCCCAGTTGCTCCGTCATTTTTCTTGCAATAATAAAAAAAAAACCAACAAGAGCACTGTGCATCACCTCACTCAAACGCTGCATCCCAGTGACTGACACTATTGGCAGGGGGGAAAGAGAGAGAGAATAAACTTTATTGAAGAATTAAAATTGCGTGACTAATCCCGGGTGGAGCCCTCTTGTAGAGCCCCACTAGCCACAGCGGCTCGCCGGGCCTGGTCTAGGGTCACCAGTTGGCTCCCCAGTGCCAGCTCGGAAAGCCGTGCCTCCCAAGACCACGTTGTGAGTGTTTGTAGTGAGCGCACCAACCTAGATACTGCATTGGCTGGCCGCTCGGTACATTGGTAGGTTATGTGTGTAAGTGTGGCTGTGTGGTTACTACACCATGGGCATACCCCTGTTGTGTATATCTGTGGAAAAATTGCGTGTAGTTTTGATATGTGGGGGTATGTGTTCGTTTGGAGGCGGCGCCAATCCCGGGCTTGTTGGCTGCTTAAGTTCGGATGTGGAGGGGCGTACGTGCGTCTTGTAAGGCGTTGGTTTTCCAATATCTGCCTGCTTGTTACCCTTTGCTCTTCATGATGCCCTGTGAGGTGTCCTGAGGAGAGTCCTGCGTCTCGGCCAGTAAGTCCGCGAGCTACGCAGTTTGCCTCCTCGTTCCCCCCCAGGCCGTCATGCCCTGGGCACCAAGTGACGCCTTGTGCCTCCATCAACATGGACCCCAAAATATCAGTGACGCACCTTGGAAGTGTGCCTCTAAGGTATAAGCGACATGCAGCTTGTGAGTCTGTCAAAATATACGCTGAGCGCCCCCTTCTTTCGGCTTCTCTGATTGCCAAGGATATGGCTGCTGCCTCTGCGATGGCACTTGATCTGGTGCGTAGGGACGCGCAGGCCACGACTTTGCTTTGGTTAGTCACTGCCAATGCATATGCTTGTTTTCTGGAGCCTTGTGGTGGCGCGGGATAAAGACTGACGTCGGTAAAGTAAGCGTCTGGATCGCTACTTTTCTGCAGGAGTTTTCGTGCTCGCGCTTGACGGCGCTTTTTGTTGTAGAGCGGGTGCATGTTTTTTGGAACTGGTTCCACGATTATTTGATCACGTATTTGCTTGGGTACAATGACTGTCTCATCGCCACAATATTGAGGGGTGAGAGGGTATCCCAGCCTCTGTAGCAGTGTTCTTCCCTGGAGCGTAGTGGTGAGTCGTTCTCGCTGTGCGATTAGCGTGGCGGCGGCCAATTCTTCATACGTATTATGCATGCCGAGTCCCATGAGTTTTTCTGTGCTTGTGCTGTTCGGAAGTCGCAATGCTGCTTTGTACGCAATTCTGATGAGTCTGTCAATCTGCTCTATTTCGGGCTTGCGTGTTGATTGAAAGGGAAGAGCGAACGTGACTCGGCTGAGAACGAAGGCATGTACAAGGCGTACCGTGTCGGCCTCTGTCATCCCATCATTACTTCGCGCAATTCTAGCTATAAGGGATGCAATACTCTTTACGGTGTGTTTGAGTTTGCCTATTGCAGTCTTTACGCTGTTGTTTTCTTGCACGTGCATGCCTAATATTCGAGCTACTGGGGTCCTGTTGATGATCTGTCCGGCAATTTCTAGCTGCAGCGCGGGTGCACGGTTGGACCGAGTGCGTGGGGGTCTTATTTGCAAATATTCCGATTTGCTAGGTGCGCACGACATGCCCGCAGCAGTGAGGTAGCCTTGAATCATGTCTATAGCAGTTTGCAGTACATCTTGTCGTTCTCCATAGGAGCCCTTCGTTGCCCATAGCGTAATATCGTCCGCGTAAAAGGCACAGCCCAGGTTTGGTACAGTCTCCAGCTGGAGGACTAGTTTCCGGAGGCCGATATTGAATAAAAATGGAGACAAGATGGAGCCCTGAGGTGTGCCTTTCAGTGGGAGGTCGTATGGTGATGATTTTGTACCAGCTATGCCAATCTGCGCCTTGCGATTTCCAAGAAAATCAGAGGCATAGTTGAATATGCGTTGTCCGCATCCTATGGCTGCAAGACCGTCTAGTATAGTAGAGTGCGCAATGTTATCAAATGCTTTTTCGATGTCGAGTGCAACGAGTAGATTGTTGAGACTACCTGGCGCTGGGTTAAGCACTTCCTCTTTGAGCAGTAAGAAGATATCCTGGGTAGACACTCCTCGCCTAAATCCGTACATAGATGTTGGTAGAAGCCCCCGTTCTTCTGTGTATTGGTCAAGGCGAGTGAGTATAACTTTTTCGAAGAGCTTGCCAATGCATGACGTTAAAGAAATTGGTCGTAGCT